GGAAATAGAATGATTTTTACTTTTGTTCGATTTGAGGAAAAAGCAAAATAATCAATGTAAATCCAAAGCAAAGTGTGATTCCAGGTTTATTTTTTAAATCTGATATGGTCAACATGAAAATTATTTTCCTGAGCATCCACGATAAACTGAAGCTCACATGTGTAGTATCCTATGGATCTAAAACAAAGAAACCAAAAAATCAGGCACGCTGTGAAACAAAATATTTTAATGCAAGAAGCTGACTGTTTTTAATGCTTTTTATGCAGTGCTGTGAGAAATATTTGTTGCTGCAAATCAGATTCTTTTCAATAAAGCTGGAGAAGCTGAATGTAGTCTCATGGGTGGTTGTGTGTTGTTTTTTCTTTAGTCCCAATTCACAATATGTTACCACAGCCATTTCTTTTGTAAATTTACCTCTGCTGTTATTGAAACACGTCAGTCCTTTGATGTATGTTGTTATGCACTGCTATGACTAACAGGGATTTATGTTTCCTAGTTCTGTGGTCTTTCTGCAGATAAGACTGGTGCCAGAGTTATTTACAATCTGTTCAGGTTGCATTTTTTGCCTTTGGTAAAGATCTGCATAGACTGGATTTGGGTTCTATGTGATGTTTCATTACAAACATAATTTCATTATCATTTTTCTCACGTGTGCTCCCTGTTTTTCTAACAGTTTACATTAGAGAGATTTAAATTACCATTGCTTTGGCAGGATAGGAACTGCTTGATTCTGAGGCAGAATACTCTTCAGTTATTTAAAACTGGTACACACTCTCTAGATGCCCATAATATAAATAGTGATGACAGTTTTTAAGCTATGTGTTTGAGTGAGTGATTTGGCTACTGCTAGGGAAGAATAACTCGTGCAGTACTGGTTCTTTTCAAACCCCCTTCCTTGCAGCGACAGCAGGTATTGACTGCATACTGTAAGAACAACATGGGATGCTACTCTATGTTAACTGGATTCTGAAACACACCCGATCTTTTAGGAAAGGATCATAGAATAACTAAGGTTGGAAAGACCTCTAAAATTATATAGTCCAAACATCAACCCATCCCCGCCATACCTATTAACCATGTCCCTCAGTGCCATGTCTACACAGTTCTTGAACTCTAACGGACAGTGACTCCACCACCTCCCTGGGTGGCCTGTTCCAATACCTCACATTCTTTCTGGGAAGAGACTTTTTCTCGTATCCAACCTGAACTTCCCCTGGCACAACTTGAGGCCCGTTCTCTTGCCATATCGATAGAAAAGGGGTAGCAGTGCAAATCTTTTATGCGAAGGGCTTAATATGGACATAATTCTGAGGAGTGTTTAGAAAAGTGAAAGCGTGAAGTTTTTAAAAAGCAAATAAAACTAAATATGAGAGAAAAGGCAGTTCGAGAAGAGGCAGGAGATGCTTGTAGGGCTCTGCAATTTACTCATAAGGAGAGCAGGAAGTACCATTGTAGATATGTTTAGAAAAGACGCAAATAAGAGGGGATGTAATATATAACGGTTATTTGCTGAGAAGAGTTCCATCAAAGCACCTGCAAATGTAGGTCTATGTATGCCAATACATATCCCAAATATAAGCCAATTTTTTTTTTTTTTTTTTTTTTTTTTGTCTTTTGTTTCTCCTCCTGTTTAACAAATTAGCAATCTAGTTGGGCTTTGTGGAAGTTGATGTTGATGTAAATCTGTCAAAAGAAAATCTAGGATATCTCCAAAGCTCTACAGAATGGGATAATTGTGATATAAGTAGCGGAGGGGAAGATTCTTCCTTTGGCTGATTAGGAATAATATTCTTCTTATTTACTTTTCTAAGAGAAATGTAAGTCTAACAGACTCAGTATTTATATCATGGGCAAACAGCAGCACAGTTTAGATTGCATATGAGCTGGTTAAGAATCTTTGGATTTCCCCTTTTGATTTGATTTTTTTTTTTTTTTTCTCCTGAGTTGTTTTTTTCCATTCATTTCTGTCTCCCTGTGTGTATTTAGGTGTCAGTGACAAATTCTGGGTGAGTGGGAACTTTCTGCGTCCTGAAGGAGAGGGTGGGAGAAATGGCATTACTTATTTGTTGCATTTGTCTACACGAAAAGAGAGAGCTCCTGAGATGCTTTAGTCCTTCAGATCCTTTTGATGAGTCACTAAAACTGCAATCAGATTGTGTCCTGACATTCTCTAAAATCATTGCTTAGAAAAAAGCAGCTGTTATAGTCTAAGAAAAAAATAATACTAAAAATGGATAGTGAGACAGGCAAAGGGATTTTATGGAAAGGAGGCAGATTTTGAATTTTTAAAATAATATATTTGGAAAGTTATTCTTTGTTTTTCAGTTGATATATTCATACTGTTGTCTTATATCTGTTCTGATCAGAATGACTTTGAAATCATGCTGAAAAAAACTTGTAAAATTGTTAAATATTTTACAGAGCAAAAATCATTTTTCTACAAATAAACTGTGTAAGTTCAGAGAATTAAACGGTCTGGGGCACATCCCTTCACATCCCTAATGGTGAATTACTTAGGCTTGTTTTATTTTGTTACATGTTAATGAATACAAGGATTTCTTTTTATTTTGAAAGAGAAGATAACATTATGTAGCAGTGGAATTACTAAGTGCCATTATTTATAGAAAACTTGAAACAACTTGGGATTTTATGGGTATATGTAGCATATCCTTCAGATTGCTTATCGTATTGTGTGATAGCAGTGAAGTGCTATTTCTAGAAAGCGCAGATTTGTTCACTGCTTCCTTTAAATATGTTTCAACTAATTACTGTCTGAACACATTGTAGCCGTGTTCGTTCTTACCTGTTCTAATGGATTGAGGGTAAAGCTACTGCAATCCTAAACTGTGTGAACTGTCTGGGGGTGGGATAAGGCAGATAACTGTACTTTCATCTCACCATATGCTTCTCAGTCAGCAATAACTTTATTGGAGGTGCAAAATGATGGACTGTCTAGCTGACAGACCTTAGAAGACTTTTGACCTGCCAGGATGAAGGCTGGTCTTGCAGGCTCTCCTGAGCTCTGTTGCCCAGGTAACTTTCAACCTATTTCTGCTTGGAGGTGGACGTGTTTGCTCCAGCCAAGCTGCTCCTGCAGCTGATGGGCAGAATTAAGTCTCCCGAAAGTGTGTAGCCATGATTCCTCAGTGTGTATAGCTGCTGAAATGGCTGATTTTTGGTGTGAGCTTAAGTTGCAAGGACCTATCCTGCTGCCTAGTGCATTCAAACTAGAAGTGCTTTCAGTTAGATTGGATATAAGGAAGATAAGGGTGGTGAGGCTCTGGACCAGATTGCCCAGAAGTTATACTTTCTGCCACTGGAAGTGGAAAGAAATTGCCTACAATGTCTTAACATGATTTGATGTTTTTTAATAAACTCATCTAAAGGCCATAAGGCAGGGGATAACTTTTGATTTTATAGGTGTCTTTAACTGAGATTCCTGCTTTGGAAACCTACTCAAGAGTAAGACCATGCTTTAACACTCTTGTTTGTGAAATTGATATTATACTGAGATATTTCAATGTGTTCTCGTGACTTGAGGCATCAAACCTGCCTAAACACTTAATATGAAGTAAAGGTCTTGCCATTGCTTCATTTCCCTTTGTTTATCTTTTTATTAGTCTAAGGCAACCCTAGTTCTTGTTGTATTGTGCTATTTATATTGAAGGATCGGATTTAGTTTCTTGAACCCAGTCAAACCATTAATGTTATAGGATATGTGTCTGAAAATAGGACTAGCAACTTACAAGTATAAAAAGCCTTTTGATGTCTGATGACTTCAGAGTATGTTTTAAATGATTCTTTCTGGAGCAAAACTGCTAGAAGCAGCAAAAGCTCTCTATGCCTGCATGGGGAAGCAGCACTGGGCTCTCCTTCCTGGATCTGGAACAGCCAGGGATGATCCACCATTCCCATGGGTACAGAATACATGGCTTATATGTGAGGGAGCTTATTGTTGAAACCTGCTTTGCTGCTTTCCTTTTTCATTCACCTGATAGAGCAAGCTTTTGAGGTGGGGAGGTCAGCGTATTGGGCAGGTTACTACTCATCCAGACTGGCCAGGATCACTGTGGATGTACTTAGCAGCACTGATGTCTATGAGCAGCTAGTGTAAGTGAAGACATGGCAAAGGCCAGGCTTCACTGTTCATGCTACACCCCAAAAAATCCAAGCACCTCAAAACTTTCTCTGGGATGCCAAAGCCTATTGACTACAGTTTTACCTGCCCCAAGGCATAATGAAAGTTTACAGGCATAGATGGCTATCACAAAAAACTAAAGGGAGAAAGTGAAAAGAGGCAGGAGAGAGAAAAAATCTAATGCAACAAAAGGGAGTGAAACATCTCCCTCTGCCCCCTCTAAGGCCTGAGGATCAGGAAGTAGATGTTATGAAGCAGGTTTAGTTTCTAGCAGCTTCATCTTGCCTTTGTATGCAGTTGGCTTTGTGTGCATTGATGTCCTGTTGGTAATTATCATTCTGTTGTCACCTGTATTCACAGTGACACCCCCATATCACATTTTCATCACAGCGTGAAATGTCGCTCTTTTTGCTTTTGTTTTGTGGGTACTATGAATTTAGCCCAGAACTGAAAAAATAGACACTTCTCACAACACACAACAGGCCATTGATAACCATGCAGCTTAGTTACTGATCCTATCTCAGTGCTTCCATCTGTCTCCTTCCTCCCACCCCTCTTTTTAAGCAGACAAGCTTTTCCCTCAACAAGCTGATGACAGAATAATTTCTTCACATTGATTGTTTGCCCCACTTGGACCTCTGGAGATCTTCGTACAAGTGGAGAGAAGTAGATCAAAAGGCTGCAAGAAAAAAGAGGCAGAGGATTGAAAAAAGGCACCATAAAGATCCTGCTCAGATTTCAGCATGGTGATGAACAGACTTGTAAGGCATTCTGAGACCTGTCAAATTTTCCCATCTAAAATCCAGACCTATTTTTAAAAGAATTTTCATAATGAGTGTCTCTTTTCCCCCACCAGCAGGCTCAGAATGCTTTCTGAAAAGTTCTGCAGGACAGAGAAGTTGAACACTTGATCACATGCAGGAGCACAGGATAGATGGAGTACAGCTGACTCAACAGCTTCTGGGGATTTGGGTAAGTGCCCACTATGTCAGCCAACTAGAACTTACTAAAATATTGCAAAATTTCACATTATTTGTTATTTTAAAAAGTTATCATTTTAACACTTGTTTGACAAGTTTGAACTCACTGAAAACTCTCAGAGGGAGTTGGCTGGGGAAGAACTATGTAGGGAATGGATAATGAAAATAGAGAGGGAAATTATCATCAAACTGGGAAAATCTCAACTTTGATTTTAACTAAAGGTACCCAGATCAACCCACATCATTAATATGAGGGGAGGAAGGTTATACACCTTTGAGGTTACCAATGTGTGTCAAACCCATTTGCTTTGCTTCCAGGAGGAAAACAATAAATTTCTTGAGGGAGACAATGTTATCCAACTTGTGGTGTCAGTCTGCCTATTCCCACAATCGTTGCATTGATGGAAGAGAATTTTGATAAGCGAGACTTCTTATCTGTCTCCCTCTGCAGTATAATGACATGGGTTTGCTGATTGGAAATGACATTGTCTGCAGTAACAAAGCTGGCTGGGTATGATAATTGCACCCACCTTTCATTATTTTCTTTTAAAAATATTAATAATGACAATATACTCATGAGTGAAGATAGTGGGGATTTGAAATCAAGTCTTTAGTTAAGTTGATGAACTGATACAGTCCAAATTGACATAGTTATTCTAATTGCTGTGTGCACTGTGAAAGGAAATTTTAGCACCATCCTAGAGCAGCAGCAAAAGAAACTGTTCAACCTACTTGTGTTCTTTTGATCAAAGAATGTTTTTGATCAGTGCGTGATGTTTTGCTTTCTTTTAGCTTGGTCTTGAGCAATATCCCTCAGGCTTGTTTTAGAGGCTGGCTTAAAAATTACTTCAAACCGTGTAATAAGTCCAAAATGGCTATAAAAGGGACTCGAAACATGGTAAAAGAAATATTCATAAGCAAATCTTTTTTTTTATTTCATAGTAAAATAAAATAGCTTCTCTGTTTCTGTTTAAATGTAATCCTTGGAACAGTGTGAGTGCTCTCTGATTTCACGCATTTATGAAGCCTGTGGGTTTTTATGCTGGTTTAGACCAAGATATTAGCAGTGTTATTTACTCCATATTTGTTTAACTTTTAAGGATTAGATCAGATTGTACAATTCTACAGTGGCATTCTATAACTTTACTGCTTAATTTCTATTCCTGAAAGTCAGGAAATTGAAGTCAATCTGATAGCATAAACTGTTGGTGCTTTTTGTCAGTGAAGTCTTGTTTTAATGGTAACTTTTCAAACTGCAAACAGATGGCTGCACTATAATCTACTTGCCAGTGACATCAAGCATTATTTACTGAAGATTTATATTTATATTGCTCTCTTCAAAAGCGTAAAAAGAGTAATTAAGGAGAATGATACTCGTTTGGATCTTTATCTGCCCATGTGACTGCAAGGCTCTAGGGGCATGCAATAGGATAAGAAGTGTCTCATCGCTGTATTGGTGTTTTTGAATCCAGACCATAGTTAGAGGCAACTGAAGGCCATTACCATGTGACGACTCTTTAGTGGCCTATATCAAATGATTTGATAGTCTCTGTAAATTTGCTAGCTGATGGAATCCTCATAATGATCAGTGATGTGAAAAAGAAATCAGTAGGTTGAATGTGCTTGTGCTGAATATCTTTAAACCTAGAAACAACCTATTCATTCCAGGCTTTAGGGACGGTCCCTGTCTGCCCATACAGAGGACTACATAACCATTGCTTGTGTTTGTCTAAGATGATCCTGGACTTGCTTTAGTCTCTTACTGTTTTTCAAATTGCGATATCTCTACTAAAAGTGAAAGATGAACGCAATGTGGAACAGGTGCAAGAGAGCAAAATCAAACCATTTTTCTATGTGGTCAGTGTAGCTAGCCAATGACTCAAAATTCTGTTGTCACTGCGTTCGTTGCAGGTACTTCTGCATGTTGTAGTCAGTCCATAGGTATGTGCTATTGGTTATGTGATTAAAAATTGTTTTGTAATCAGTTTCAACAGTTAATTATAGATTTTTTCTTCTCTTTATTATAATATTCTGCGACAAAAGTGAGAAATACAAAATGATTTTCACTTTATGATGCAAGTCAGATATGCAGTGACTATAATAGGAAATCTGTTTTCAATTGGTTTAAATTCTTGGCTTTTTGTGTTGAACCCGCCAAATTTGCACGAAGAATCTAAGTTCTAACTAGAGATTAATGAAATACACAGCAGAACATCAAATTGTAAGTTTTAATAATGAAAAGGAGTTCTTGCTTTGTCAAGGATTTCCAGATTTGGAATAAAATGATCTTTTCAGATCACTACAATAGTCTCCAAATTCTATTCTGAATTTACTTTTTTTCCTCAGTCTGACACATTTTTCTGGTTATGTAGTAGACAATGTGAAATCAGAGAAGAATTTTTCCAAAACTCTTTAATTCTAGTCCAAAGCTTTGACAATAGATCACTTCCTTCAGTCCTGTGTGCCTCTAAAATCTGAGCTCAGTACCAGCATTGCACAATTCATAGCCCATGGAAAAGCATAGTAATTCCTGCAGGTTGGAAGGGCAGCACAGAAATCTGTTTTTCCTTGTGTGACTTGAGAGATGCAGTTGATTTTGGTGTTTTGTTTGTTGGTTGGTTGGTTTGTTTTATTTGTATTTTTTTATCTGAAGCTTTAAATTGACTTACGTTCTTACATTTTATTGAGGCATCTGTGAATCAAACATTTGAAACAGAAATTTGAATAATTTTGTTGACTTATCTATCTGGTACATAATGTTTCAATGCTTTCTTTGTATGGTATAATGACTATAGCTATAACACTAATGTTCTCAAAAGCCTTAGGATGTCAATATAAACGTGTGGGAGGGTTTTAGCAATGTTTTCTGTGAAATGCAGCAAGTTCTAAATTGCTTATTCAGATCATTTCTGTGGGAGGAAAAAACCCAAATATTCTGACAATACTTAAATAAAATTGAACTGATCACTAAGTACAACTACAGTAAAAACAATATAGAATGGCATGAAGGAAAGGTAGCCCTTTTGAGGAATATTAGTATTTCACTCATGGATATAGGAAACAACTAGAATAACTGTTGTACTGTTGTTTAGCACAGAATAACAGGTAAACTGCTTGCATGATTTTAACTATCTTAAGTGGAGAGTTTAAATATATATAAACTGTCAGGATCTATGACTCGTTTCAACATAGCTTTTCAAAGTGCTTTAATGACTGTTTCACTTCTAGTCTGTTATCTCCCTGGAAGGTATTGTGCTATTTTGTATAAATCCCTTGGAAATATTTCATATAGTTGTACTGTTCGTTTGATCACTATTTCTCTTTTTACTTTGTAAATAAGCAGTCAATTTCTTTTCAGAACAGAATAATAATAAAAAAATCTCAGTGCATTCAAGGGTTTGTCGTAACAGCAAGTAGACTTGCATGCTGAAATACAGCATTTAAAAGATTATTATTATGGTGAATGTTTTGTATTGTTAAAATACAGATTTTGTTATTAATATATAGCACTGTAGTTACATTTTCCCTAGCCTTTAGAATGGCAAAGTAATAGTAATAAAAATGTCTCAACTAGGGTTTTGCCTACCTAAGGCTACGGGATGAAGCTGTGGATGTACCAAGGCTATTGTGGATCTCTCAGTATGCATTACACTGATTTTATAGGTTGAAAGGCATTGCATGGCTTTAATATTATCTATCCAACATACATGTTTAATTCTCATTAATAGTAATACGATTAACAAAAGATAACCTGAGCTGTGTCTTTAGGAACCAGATCTAGATTTTCAGCCTCTTGGTGTTCAGCAGGGCTTAGAATGGTTATTTCACTTCAGTTCAGAAGAAAGCTCTGTATTACTTCTACATTAATATTTAATGGTCTTGAATTTCCATTACCTATGTAGCATGCTGGTCCAAATTTGATAGCTTTCTGAAATGACCATCTTCCAGATTAAATTCTAGTAATTTTGGCATGAATTACTTTTGTGGAAAATTAACATCTATCTCTTTTTTAAAAAAGCCAAAAACATTATTATTAGTTTAAGTGAAAGAAGTTGTTGTTGAGGGACTAGGAAAAAAAAAAAACAACAACCAGAAAGTTTAGAATAAAACCAAAAATTTGATTTATTTTTCTTTATTAAGAAAAAAAAGCCCTTCCCAAGTTTGTTCCCAGTCTCACTTTCTTTGGATACCTTACGCAACTGATTGATTCACCAAATATCTTGGCATTTGGGATTTTGTCTATGATTTGTTCTTCATCAATTACAGTTCCTGTTGGCTTTAGTTGGCGCTCTGAGCTTTGACCCAATATTAATTACAAAGCTCATATAGTATAGAGACATTCCAGGATTTCTGTTTTATATCTCAAGAATAGAGTCTAAACGTATGACTAGAAAATGTGCATGAATCATTTCTGGGGCCAAATAATTGATACTGAAAGCAAATCTATGCCTAAGTACACCTGTACATTTCATGCATCGTACTTCCTTCATCGTCCACCACTGCTGTTTGTATTCTGTATAGTTAGTAGAGAGATTAGTTTGCCTACTTAAAACAAATTTTTGCTCCCATTCGGTTGAGAAAAGAAAAATCAGATGCATTTTTTACATTCACAAGATGAAGTGATTTCTAGCATTCTTAGTTTTATTATTTCCTTGTATGTGTCGTCATTATTATGCTTGTATTCCTGTGCTGCGTACCTTCAAATGCTATAATTTTGGGAACATCCAATCTGTTTTGCAGGTTTATAACTGTCATGAGCTTTGTTTTGATTAGAAAATACTAATCAGTGTGTGTGTGTGTGTGTGTATGTGTTATGTATGTGTGTGTATCTCTGTACGTGTATTTTCACCTTTGCAGCTTTTGCATGATGTCAGAAATAGCATGGTATTGCGATCTGAAATCTGAAGCATTCATAAGAAAAGAAACTCTGTTTTTCAAAGTCTTGACACTAAAGATTGTTCACAAGCGGATGGAAATATTAAAGATGAAACCTGTTCCTAAAAAGTTACTTGCATCTCAGGCGCCCGTTTTTTTTCTTATCCTTTAGGAGTTTTATTATCCTTCAGGAAGAAAACAAACAAAAACAAATAAAAAACCAAAAACCAGGAATTACACCATTTGGTGTCCTTGTTTTCAAAACAGATACTGTAAAGTTCCAAGTCCTGTTTTATCTGCATCAGAAGAGCCAAAGATGCAAAGAAGGTGATGACAGAGGTTGCATGGTCTGGATAATCTGTTACAGTGGGATGTAGGAACTGAATGAGAAAGTTCAGCTGAAGGGCTGGGTGCAGAGAATTATTCTTCTGGATTTGTTTGTCACATTACTTTTAAGTGCTAATAGTCTGATATATGTCTGGAAGCTCTGATGGAGGTACAGCTAACACACAACTCCAGCACAGATGCAGAACTAAGGTAAACAGTGAGACAGACATGAACCAAAAGGAGCTATTTTGTCATGAAATTATTATAAGTAGTAATATTTATTAAACAACATCATGATTACTTCAAAACATCTTTAAGTAAAAGCAATCATTTTTCTATTCTATTACTTGCAGAGACCTAATGTATGTTGCTAGAGAGCGTTTAGTCTGTTAATAGATCTATATGAAAACACTTGTAAATAGAACATTTATTCTGCTAGTTTCATTATGCACAAGTCAAGATACATACATATCACTGTATTATTTTGTAGCATTGCTACTCCATAAATGGAAAATGAAGAACAAGCATCAGATTATAATAAAATATAGGATGAATATTTGAAATAAAAATTAAGCTCAAAAGTCAAAATTAGCTCACAAGTGAATTTAAATATAAAATGAAGGACTGAACCAGTAGTGAATGCTGCTCAAAATGGAAAATCATTGAAGATCATTTAAAAATGAAAAGATGAGAGAACAAACAAATTGAGTGTCAGGTAATAAAAGGAGGAATTTAGGTTAGTCACTGCTGTTCCACAGTATTTCTAAGCTGAATACAGAATGGCTTTCATTTAAATTGCAAACATCTTTGCTTTGAAATTTTGTGTGGGTTTTCTGACATGGCAACATTTGTGAAATCAGGGGCAAGGGCTTTGCAGAATAATAACAATTAAATCGAGGGATGCTTGTTGCAACTGTTCCTCTTTGTGTTCTTCAATGACATGCAGCACAGAACAGTAAGATCTGCAGATATGACTTGGTGCTGGATATATAAACAAATCCAGTTGCAAAGAAATTCATACCCTGTCTACTTCAGCATTTTAACAGTTTGGTAGATTGGAACCCAAGTATATTGAGCTGTTTTTCCACTGAGTTGGTTGTTTTAGAAATCTAAATGATGCACAGTCTCTGATTAATTAACCATGTTTGATAGGTCCTCAAATCTCTGTCTCTTTGTCTGTACTCATCCTTCAAATCTATTCTACAATGGATGCTTGAAATAGTTGCCGTGTGAACTTTTTGGGTATATGTGGAAGTCCTGTACACAGAGCTTTCCTCCATCTCCAAATCAACGGAAAGAACTGTCCACTTGATCAATAGAATATACGAAACCTTGTTTGGAAGATATCCTTCGGTATAGGAGCAGAAACTAAGTTAAATTATTTGCATGACTTTGAAAGTATTTTTTTTTCTCTTGATTTGGGCATTTCAGTGAGTCCAAACACTACACTGAGTGTCATAAACAAACGTAGTAAATCATGTAAACATCAAAAGATTTTCAAAAATGTTCAGCAGAGAAAATGGAGAATGAAAGTTGAAGAAAACAAAAGAGTGCTTTAGTTACATTGGTGAAACCTGGAGTGAAGGAAGGCATTTTTTTGTGCAGTTTGTGTCTATGGAATCGTGAAAATGTCTTTTAACAGACAAATATATTTGTTTCTGAACTAAAAAGCACTTTTTTTTTTTTTTTTTAAAAAAAAAAGCACGAGGTGCTGTAATGGCCAAAAAAACTCCAATTCCATGTTAAAGAGCAAGGGGGGGGGCCCAACCAAAAGCATACCTTTACTATCTTCTTATGTACGTGTTGATTTCTAGGTTATAAATCACTTACTCCTGAGGCTTGAATTTTACCTTCCTTTTTTTCTATGTGGATATTTCGTCATAACTATGTGGATATTTCATTTTATAGGCGTATACAGACAAGTGCCATTTTGATGAAATAATTGGATGTCTCTATGGTTGGTGGTTGGAACTTGATGATTGGGTCCTTTCTAACCCAAGCCATTCAATTATTCTATGATGCAAATCTTTTGGTTGGATGACTTCTACATTTGGTTGGCTGAGGTTTTAGCACTTTTTAGTGAGAAGTAGCTGGAAACATTTTAAAGGCAAGTTGGGAAGGAGTGGTTGCCTTGATCCTTACAATGGTAAATGGATACATGAAGTTGGCCTCTCAGGGTATTTTATAGCCCTGCAATTCTCTTGCAAGAAATAATAAAATAATGCACATTCTTAACTTATTTAACTGAGATCAGCAGGAGTGCTGACCCACTGGTGCTGCAGGTCTGCATGCTAATCCATATGCAGGTCAGTCAGTAGTTGGAGAGCAAGAAGAACATTATTGGTTGTGTTAAAATTTGACTCGCTCTGAATGCACTAGAGAACTAATGCTATAAATACTTAATGTCTTAATTCAGTTTTGGTCTTTAGCAATCATCTCTCCTCCCTCTGAAGCACAGCAACAGAAATTAAGTTAAATAACATTTTAGAAATTATCTGAAGGTCTGCTTTTTATCTAAAATAATAGTTACAGCTTTGTCAGTGTGATTTCTCATTAAATTCTTTTCAAACATTTTTTTTTTTTTTTTTTGGTAGCAAAAAAATATTGTAGCAGATAGAAAATTGAAGTCAAACTCAGATCTTTGTAAAATGCCCTTGATTTATCAGAAACTAGCTCAATTATAGAAAGAGACATTTTATCCAAATCACAGCTGTACAAACAGAGGTAAGGCTACAATATACTGGAGAAACATCAGTTTTCCACAGTAAAAAATGTTCACAAAATAAAGGTTAAATTTTCCTTGTTCCAAAAACAAAAACAAAACAACAACAAAAAAAACAAAACAACAACAACAACAAAAAAAAAAAAACAAAAAAAAAACCAAAACAAAAACAAAAAAAAACAACCAACATCAAAACCTGAAACACCCTAATTCTCACCGAGAGTAACGGATAAGGTAAGGAGATCATGAAACTGTAGAGGTTTCATAGCAACCCAGTTAAGAATTTTGTTTTCTTTGTTCTCACTTTTTCTTTTTTTTTTTTTTTTTGGTCAGCATTAGCTGCAAGTGCTGTCAACCTCCACAGGAGTCTGCTTGAAAAAAAGATTAAAGGATCAAAGAATTGTTTTATTTAGAATTTTGTATCCACTTGAGACTAAAAGAAGGTTGCACTGTTGCTATAGGTGACACTTGGATCAGGAAGATGAGCAGAAGACACGCGGCACAGCTGCTTTTGGATAGGATGGCAAAAGTTGAATCTGACTTATTAAGAATAGAATAGCTTCAGTAGGCTGGGACCGACAAAGATAAAGTCCAAATATCCATATGCCTGCCTAGCAGAAACTTGGTGCTGCCAATTCTGTTTTAATCCCAGGTACTTCCAGGCTCAGTTGAGTAGGAGTGAATGACTGGACTCCTCTGGTGGCACTGGGACATTCCTTTGGCTTCTTCATGTAGTGCATGGCTCGTGCTTTATTCTAGTTGGCTTGTTTGCTGCCAGGGAGCATCTGAGAATGCTCTGTGAGGGTCTCTGTTTCTCAACACAAGACTTTAAACCCCACACTCCTACATAGTCATGAATGATTCAAATAAAAAAGTGGGAGTTTGTCCCAAACATTCTCCCCATGTGCTGTTGCTAGCTTCTTCCAAGGCTGCATGGAAGTGTGCTGTGTTTGTGAATGTTCCTTCTCTTCTCAGAAAAATGTGATGATCAGCATCTCTTGCTGTCATGTTAGAGGTAGCAAACCACCTAAATCTCTCAGAATTGCCCAATTCCTTTGTGGGAAAACTAGTATTGCTTCAGATTAGCAGAGATTTTTCTGTTCATAAAATAAATAAAAGAAAAAGTAAAGCAATTCATGGACAAAATCCCTGGTGTTCTGAGATATTCCTAATGAATATGCGAATCAGATATTTATTGATTGTGCTAAGTATTGTAAGTATGACACTTTGGAGAATTCCTCCTAGAAAGAATAATTATTCAAGACATGAAAAATTTATGTGTTCTGACCTTCTAGACTGGTTGCCAGGTATGATTCAAGTAGATGTAATTTCTATGCCAACTCCTTACCTGAGCTCAATTCAATTGCATGCATGCTTCAAAGAACAAATTTTTGGCAATTAGATATGGACTGATTTTATTCCAGGACCTTGAGCCTGAGAATTGCTCAAAAAGACATTTATCTGTACAGTTTTCAAGGACGTGGCTGAAATAAAACATTGTTCTGCTTAATTCATCTTTCTCAATGGATTTTTACACTGAAATATATTAAAAAAAAAAAAAAAAAAAAAAACAAAAAAAACAAGAAAACCAAACTGCCAATGTTCAATTGCATAAGCACTCTCCTAATCTATCAATAAATTTTAGGGGACTTTTTCCCCTTTTCTTTCTTTTATACCATCCATGAGCACTTCTTTGCTGCACATTGTGATTAAAAGCTTGGAAACAGAAATGGGCCCAGCTGCCCGTGGCCTCTTTCTCATATGGTTGTGAGCTTTATCCACGATTCCTTTGCTGGAGGCCATCACCTCCCGAGTGGTAAAATGTCTGCAATAAGCATCTTCAACGCAACGAGCAGATGTGTGTAATAACCACCTAATGTTTTGCTAGGTTTTGCAATGGAACAGGTATGGTTACTGCTCCTGCTGACGATTAAAGTGCTTTCGGTGACTGCTCAGTTCAACGGCTACAACTGTGATGCTAACCTCCATAGCAGGTTTCCTGGTAAGTGTTTAATAGACTTTTTTTCTAAATGGCTTCTTTACTGTCTTGGTTCAAAGCAGCGCTTATTTTTAAATACAGAGCTTTAAATCTGCCTGGGACCTCGGGGTAGGGCTTCACATTAAGTGAATATTAACTACCTGAGTGACGATGAAACTCCTGTAATGTTACACTTTACACTCTTCTTAATTGCACGCTGGGTCAAATCCAGCCTAGTATTAATGAATACAACTACCTTCACATCAGTGGGGTTTGACCTGCTTTTGCCAGAGCTCTGTCCTGTTCAAGAAATTCACCAGAAGTCATGTTGTTTGAAATGCTCTTTACAGGTTTAAGAGTCTGAAACTCCTAACTGGGTTTTCTTTCAAGTTTTGTCCAAGTGAGGTAATTATGTCCTTTTAATGAAATACAGAAATAGATACGTATTTTTTCAGCAAAAATGAAGTTGATGGCAAAATTCAGTGCCTCACTTCACCATTAAGCTCTTGCCTGGAGGCAGTTAAAGCTGTGCGATGCATCTACAGATGATCTATATTCATGCCTCGAGAAAATAGGGATTAAGTTTTTCTGGGGACATCAGATGTCCAAAACTGTTAATGCACTGAGAAACATATATATATCAGAATTTACTCAGTTAAAGAATGTTGTTAATCTGTTACATGGTTTATTTTTCCTGCCTTTGTTGGTTCTTGGTCAGAATAATAGTAATGAAGGGCTGATTCTGACTGATTTACATCTTGTGTTCCTGTAGTAGTGATGAAGTCTCAGAATTATGCTGTAATACCTTTTGTTGTTGTTTTTTTTCTTTTTTTCTTTTTCTTTTCTTCTAAATGATAATGGTTCTGACTCTTCTTCAGGAAAGATCAGTTTTATTGAATCATCTGTTTTCACTGTTTCCTATTACTACCATACTGCTAGGTGCATTGCTGATATAAAAGACCACCAATGTTTTTGAATCTTTTTTCCCTTGATTGATGCAAATATGAAAAGTAGAGCAATACAGGACATGCAAAAAAGGATAAAATATGTTTTGTTCATCGCTGGCAAAAATCACCATTAAGCTGAGTTTTTCACAAACTACTTCTGTATTTCTATTCTTAGAGTTTTACAGGCTTGACTAAAAAGTGTGGGTTAATTGTGCCCACCTATTTCAGATCTACCTTTCATTATTTTCCATGTTTTTTTTGTGTGGGTTTTTTTTTCATTTCAGACTTCTTAAGAGGATTGCAGCCACTAGAGGGAAGCTTAGATTCTTCTTTCTGTGCTTTGTGAAAGCTTTTCTGGTCACCTTTCACACTAACCCCATGCCATGGTTTTACATTTGCTGTGTGATAACCACAAAATGAATCCAACTCTTACTGAGAGTATTTAGGAACTACTTACACAGTTCTGTCTCGTAATAATGGCTATATCAGATTCCATGCCTGCTGAATCCCAGAGACTCGGGCGCATTTGCTTAGGTTACAAGCAAATTTTACTACCATACTGCTAGGTGCATTGCATTTGCTTAGGTTACAAGCAAATATTATTATTTTTTTAAGTAAATTCTAATAATGCCACACTGCCCATAGCAGGTGAGAACTGAGTCCTGCTTGTTCCTGTTTGTGATCTCAAGCAGTAAAAACTCAAAGGCTGAAATTTAATCAATGGTTTTAGTGCTGATTTTGAGAGCTAAGAAAGAAAAATAATTTTACTTATGGTAGCCATGTATTTGAGCTAGAGATGAAAAACCAAAATGCTTTTGTCCCAAAATACGACAGGTATTTTGTTCAAGAGGGACTGTTAAGTGATGCACTGAGGCTGGTGGAGCTCAGTAAACCCCCCAGAACTCTGCTTGATTGGTTCAAGTACCCCAGAAGATGGGCCAGAACCTGTGGGGGGAGTGAGAGGCTCTCTTTTCCCTGCCTTCAGTATTCAGGTATAACGGAAGAATGAGGGGTCAGAGCGAAGAACATGTCAAACAAGTGTCTTTTGAGGCTGAGATACTGCCCTGCAGAGCTAGGTTGTGGGTAGGATTATTTTCCCCATTCCTTATTTGTTCCTTGTAAGAAGCATTTGTTTTTGTCAGCTGAAATTCCAAATACGAGGTGACAGTGGACTTTCCAGCCAAGGTCTGTGGTGTGCAGATACCTCAGAAGCCATTGATTTTTTTTTTTTTTTTTTTGAAGTTGTTTGCTCTTTTATTTAATGCTGAGAGGAACAGAAGTTTAGGAAGCTTGTCTTCAGCAAAGATGAGAAATTAAGCCTTCCTAAAGACCCTGTGAGCTCATCCATTTTTCATTTATTTGTGCTTTTATCGTTTGCTGCTTAGATGACTTTTGCATAGGGATGGCGCTGCATAAACAGGGTGATAAATAATCAGACAGGACTTTGTTTTTTTCCTGCAGTTTGCAGGTTTGTTTTACAGTGTAAGCATGCAATAATCAGCAGGGCTGTAGACAAAAACACAGTTGGTCGATCAAAAATTCCGTGTCTTTTGTACTTAAAGGCAGATGTTTTCTTGAGTATGGAACAAGGTCAAATCCTGCTGTCCGTCAGAAATCCGCCTGAAGAAAAAAGTTTAAGTTGTGCATTGTAGTGGAGCATAGCTTTTAGAAGGCTTTTGGAGTGTACAGCCATGTTAGTGCAGCTATCTTCAGATGGAAATGTGCAGTTTAGATTCAGTGCTCTTGCTGAAAGAACTTACTGAAACTTTGTAAAACTAGTTCATCTCCAGAATGTACTGCTGCTATTTCGCACACTCTTGCGCATTTTAATTCACCACTGAAGCTGTGACTTAATCAAAGAAAAGGCTTCTGCAGAAAAGCTGGTTTCGGGCTATAAATATCCTTGCATGCTTCTGGTAGAATGACTTCTGCCAGCAGTTTTCTGGCAAGTTCTTGTCTTCCACACATTTTTACGGTCAGCTCCATTGCAAGTCTTGGTGGTACAGATGGACACCAGGCAGAAGTGGGCAGTGGAGCTGTCTACATTTGGCCATGCTGCCATTAGTCCATCCTTGACTCAAGATGGTCTCAGTTACTGTAGTTATTACTGTATCTAATGGATTATGCTGTTTTGCACATGACATTCTTGTAAGTACTCTTGCCTATGGCAATCTGGTGTAGTTTGAGTCAGAGGCCAAATGCTTTGCCTGTAAGCAACAGCAATAGAGGCCATTGTATTGAAGGCCCCATCAAGTCTCAGCTGGGTGACCTTACTTCCAAGCCATCACAACTGTCTTCGTCAGAAAACTGGAAGTTTTTACCACAGGAATGCAACTATTTTTGTCTAAACATACAGATATAGGAGTAATATTTAACTTTCTAAATTCACAAAAAAATTGCTAGACTTTTAGCATCTAAAGGAGCATTAGATCTGTTTGTATTTAGTTTCAGAATTGCTTCTAAACAAACACTGTGCTTTTTTGTATTACAGAATGGACAGATTTAATAACAATGTGTCCTTGAAAAGCAGTTAGCAAAAAGGTTCAGTTTAGGAAAGCAGCTTATCTTCCTTTATAGTGCAAAAGTGGCTATTGTACCGTATGGTCCCATTTCCATTAGTGTCAAATGAGAATTTTGCAAGTTATAAAGGTACCGTAACAGGAAAAATAACACCCTGCTTTTAAAGAGGCTTGAAGTGAGTTATAAAATTAAGTGAGCTATTTTATATTATATCCTGCAATTTATTACAATCAGTGAATTACTCTGAATAAATGTAGAAGCATATCCTTCGCTATTTATGTTTTTGTATTGTCCCCTCCACCTCAGTATACCCATTAACTGAATTACAACAGTCCTCTAGCAGTGAATACCATAACATGCTTCTTGATCTTTGTACATTATGTTAGTGAAAATACGCACATGTACAAACCAGGAGAATATCACACCACATCACTTCTACTTATGTTTTGCCTCCAGTACCTTTCTGCCCAAATTTGCACCCAGTGAGTAGCATTTATCACCACATTAGTTCAGGTCAGAGTTTAGCCTGTTATTTTCTGCACTTGATTGTTTTGACTTTAAAGCCACCATTAAAGCTGTCTAAATTAAACTGTTTGTGCTCCTGTACCATGGGGGAAGAGCTAGTTCATTATAATGGAGATTTCATTTCCTCTCTGTTTTGTCAGCTCAGTGAAACAATTCATTTCAGCAGGCTTAATGGCATAGTATTGACTGAAGTTGTTCTGCAATTTTTAATAGCCCTTAATGCTTAAGCAGGTGTAATAAATGTGTAGTTCTATAAACGAGTAATGACTGTGTTTAACATGATGCAGTACACCTTTTGCAGAGCACTTAAGGAAAAAAAGAAACCCAAACAAAATGTCCTATATTGTCTAAAGGCAAAAGAGCTTGTAGAAAAGTTATGTAAGAGCTTTGGGTTTCTCCACCCAAAGAAACCATTCCTTGTCCCTGTAATCTCACCCAATGCTTTGCTATTCAAACACCTAAAAATCCTCAGTATATTCAAATTAAATAAATGTACATTCATCTAAGAAGGACTTTCATAGAATCACTAACATTGGAAAGACTAACTAATACCATCAAGTCTAACCATCAGCTCATCAGCATTTTTCTGCAGTTCAAAAACTGATTAGTTATAACAGTTGCCATGTTCTAGGCAATCTACCTTCTTTTGTATTGTAATAATGTACAGAATGAAAGATTGCAAGACACTCTGTGGTTTTATTCATTGTCTGCTGCACAGCCTGAGACTATGGTCTAATACAAAGTAGACTCCAGACGGCCTCAAATGTACTCCACTCCCATGCCAGCTGCCATCTGGAGTGGACTGAGGGGCAAAGCTTCCCTCCCAAGTTTTCTCACAAGTGCTGGGAATTTACTGTTTCAGAAGAGGGCTGCTCAATCAAACTCCAGATATTTAACCACTTTTCCAATCCTTTGCAGTGCTTCAACTTCTGAATGCGCTACTAGATGACTTGCTGGTGAAGATTGGAATAGTGGTTTTGTTGCATGGTAGACTACACTTACTGCATTAATCTTTTTCTTTCTTTAGTGTGGCTGTAGACTCAGATATACTCGTTTTTCAGAACAATGCTCTTCTGTTCTTTATATTCCATTATTTTGCTGTGATGGAGGTCTAAAGCTTGATTTGATAGGAATTTATAACACCAGACTAATTGGTGCAATAATTATATGCTGTTTAGTTCAAATACAATATTTTTTTCTTTTTTTTTTTTTTACAATATCTTTTTACCATTTTTTTCCCTTGCAGCTGAACGTGATATCAATGTTTTCTGTGGAGTACAGGCGATTACTATGAAGATAAATTTTTGCACAGTTCTATTCTCTGGTTATTCTGAAACAGATCTGGCACTGAATGGGAAGCATGGGGATGCTCACTGCAGGGGGTTCATCAATAACAACACCTTTCCAGCAGTGGTCATTTTCATCATCAATCTGAGTACTTTGGAATCCTGTGGAAACACTTTAGTGGTAAGATGAAATCAAAGTGAAATTGTAGCATGGCTGTTTATGCATGGGGTCAAGTGAATGGCCTGACAGCATTACATCTTTTATGGATAATGTTTGCATTGTCTTTCCCAGTGAGCAATATAATGCATACATCAAAGAAAACCAGAGAAAGCTGAAAATGTACTTGATTTCTAACCAGAAAACGTGATGGGACACATTTGCCCTCTGATTAGATGGTACATTTCACATAGTAGTAATTTTTTTTTCACTGGAAAAGATGTTTTCACGAGGCATTCTTAAAAACTTTATGAACATATTTTGTTTTCCTGAAACTTTTCGAATACCTGCTTGTGGAATAAAAGAAAAATATTTTTAAGAGCATGAGAGTTATAGTCTGGGTGCTTCTGAGATCTCGTGTGAAAGGGCTTGTTGATTGATCCTGTATATATTGTGATAAGGCAGGGCCTTCAGGCTGAATCTTGCAGCGGAAATAACCCGGCTAGAGGACTCGGCCCCGTGAGGGAGGAAGCTCACAGCAGGCATCTCTACAAGTAGTGCTCTCATGGCATTCACTTCTTTTTAGGATCTCCTCTCTGTGGAACTATCTGGCAACGAACTAAAGTTTTCAATCACACTGGGAATATTACGCTAGCAAACAAAAATTCACCAAACACCCACAAAATGAAGAATGGCAATTAACTATGTGCTCAAATTTTATATGCATACATATATATATAAAGTATACATATATACATATTTATATATTTTATATATATGTGTGTGTATATATATATATAAATATATATATTTTACATATAAAATATATATATAAAAAAATCAACGTGTGGGCCTGAAGATCAGATTTGTATGTTCAGCTCGGGTCTTTTACTTGGTGCAGTGTCAATCTGTGCTATGATGTTTTGTCTGACTGTGACTTCAGAGTCTGCATTTTGTTACTGTTTTGTGCATAAATAATGCATATCCTTATGTAACTAATAATTAAATGTAATATTTAGCTAGTTTTTCAAACCAGAATCTGATCCAGGAGCTGACTTCAAACCCTGTTTCCTACCGATATAAATTTCACTCCCTTGAAAAAGAGTTATCTACCAGTGAATGACTGAAAAAAAAAAAAAAAAAAAGAAAGAAAGTCTTAGACCTTCTCAACCAAGGAAGAGTGAGCTTGCACAACTTGTGTATGTTGCCCTGTACAGGTCTTCACTGTTTGTATCAAACTGCCTATGAGTAAATAACAAAAATGTGTAAAAATGTATTATTTTTAAGGCTTATGTTTTACCTGGAATTCATACAATCAAAGTTAGCTGTCAGTTTTCATAACAGCGCTGCTGTTTTCAGTTGCTAATAATTTTGTCAAACTGTGCTGAATTGTTCAAAATGCTCTCTGACCTATTTGCTTCAGGCTGAGTTTTCTTTAAAATTTTCAACAAAACCAAGTTCACCAAGCTCAAGATTCACTTTTCCCAGTCTCTGAGTACCTTCCATCTCCTGTGTTAGAAGTTGACAGGAAGGAACTTTTTGCTCTTCGTGTGGAGTCAGTCACACTGTCAACTCTGAGAACATGCTCTTTGATTATAACTTTAAGAACATGCTTTCTTATCAATCCAAACAACTGCAGATTGGAGATTCCAACGGGGCTCCCACAAAGCTGCACAAGATAAAAACATAACCAAAAATTCTTCTCAACCTGTCTAGGCATGCTGAGCCACAAAGAGGATGAAGGAGCTACAAGTTTTAGGGTCCCCACGATAGAATAGTAAAATCCCATGCAACTTTTTGGCTTTTTTTCCACAGTGAAGGCTTCAAACTTGCTTTCCATATAAACAAAGGGAATACCAACCTTTTATGATTTTTGGGAGGATGGGATGGGGAGAAAGCCAAATAGCAGTGGCAGGTTATGCTACCTGGTGCTCCAGGTTGTGTTTCTTAAGCAAGGGACAGACTAGGAAATCTGATACTGAGCATTTTCCTGCCGTTGACTGAGCAATTAGTCACATGCCATTGGCACTGTAATAGGGAAGTTCCTTCACCATTGTCCAAAACATTCAAATTCATTGGGAATTCCCAGAGAAAGTGCTTACCAGGATTCATCAGTTTTACTCAAATGTTACTCAAATCCGTGTTTCAAGAACAGTGATATCCCCTATGAACTGTATATGCTTGATCCTGGGGAGGTTAGAGACAGAACATAAGCAACACGGTGTTGATAAAGCAAACTCATTTTCAACAGATCTTCCTGAAGGTATTTCTGGGTAAATGATGCGTGAAGCATCAGGTATAACTCTTGTCCCATGTTCAACTTCCTGGTAATACTTGTTTTCTATCTCCCTCAATAGGTGTCCTCAGCTCGAGGTGTCAATGCTTATGGGAATATCTCAGTGGTACAGATAGGTAATGTTTCGGGCTATATAGATACACCAGACCCACCAACTATTATCAGCTATTTACCTGGGCTTCTGTACAAATTTAGCTGTAGCTATCCTCTGGAGTACCTGGTTAACAATACCCAGCTTGCTTCGTAAGTGTCCTTTTCATTCCTATGTGTTTCATTCCCATATTTGTATAAGTCCATATATATTTGTATCTGTGCATACCTAAATATTTGCATGCCATAGCAGTACTGTCAACATGGTGATACTTAGCTTTTTATAGTAGTAAAGAGAATGAAAAAAAAATACACTGAAAGAAGAGGTGATGCAAAGGTAAAAAGGGAAATTAATTACCATCACTGTATGAGATACCATAGTATTTATGAGAAGCTACTGTGGGCTTTCTTGTAAAGCTTGCCTTAAAGTTATTGTATTCTGATGACAAAATGACAGCAGTAAACATGGAAATTCTTTTTGAAATTGTTTGGAAGAAAATATTTCCATTAGTAGATCCTGTACATCATGAAAAGCAGGTTCCTTCTTGTCACTTTGCCTCTCTGCTAATTATTTTTCTGATTCATGTTTTTGACAGTATCCATTATTTTCCATACAGTTAAGGTTCTGCCAGTGTTTCTACTATAAGCTTGTATTTCTGCGGTTTATAACCCAAACAGATAAATTAACTTCTTGTGATACAGCTCATTGAGTTTTTTAACAATAAAAAACACTGAAGTGTGTAAAGACAAAAATAAAATGCATTTTTGATCTTCACGATTCTTCTGGTTCTGTTGTAGGTCATCGGCTGCTATTTCTGTAAGGGAGAACAATGGTACATTTATCAGCACTTTGAATTTGTTGCTTTACAATGTGAGTATAAAACACAGTAACACGATCTAGATGAAATCCATCTCTGCATTCTGTAGGTACAAACTGGATTTGTAGAGCAAATTGTAAAGTCCTCTTTGTTAGGTGTTATTCTCCTCCCATTCCTCTGATGAAGCACCAGGCCTTCAGTTTGGACAGCTTTAATCTAGGTTCTCTGGAACTTTTTTGTTTGCATGTATCTCTTGCCTTGTGTTTGGGTAGCTGGTCTTTGAGGAACCACAGCCTGTATTTATGCAATTCATCAATTTACAGCTCTGGCTTTAAGGTTCTAATGCCATGCAAATAATCAGTTGTAGTAGTTATAGCCATACTTCAGAGTGCATAGTCGTGTTTTCATTCATTATATTTATGGGCATATTTCTATATATCTGTGTGTATATATGCATAGATACATTGCACTCATACAGAGGATAGTCTGTAGTATTCTATAAAAATATTATAGACCTGTTCCCTTAGCAATAAACGGCAGCTCTTTTGCTGGAGTATTTTTATGTTCAAGGCTCATAAGAGTGTTTTGATCATCTTTAATTGTCATGAGGGATGTGGGATTTGTTACAAAACTGAAGCCCACTGTACTTGTTACCTCATTTTGTGAACTTACATGATTTTAAGGGTCAATAATTCTAATAGGTTTTAGCTAACCTCTCTGTCATATACCCTTTTAGGTAATTTAACTTGGATGTGCATTATTGTGTAAGTTTTTCCTGTGTAAATATGGATGGTGACAGTAAAATGTGAAAAACGTGTGGACCACTACTTAATAACAACATTAATCCCTGAAATGATTTTTTCCCGTTGATTAAAATTTTTATTCATACATTTTAAATACCTGATTTAAATATCAACTTCTCAATCTATCAGGCAACATTTTTGTAAATTATGATTCCGATTTTTTGCATTATTATTCATGTCATCATGACATTGAGTTATAATTCATGCAACTGATTTAAAAGTCAATGCTTTAAACTTTGAACATAATGAGCTATAAATATTGTAACAGGACATTTTCCAAAGGCATTCTTTAAAAAAATCATGTTTGTTTGGCAGAGCTCTGAATATCAGTTCTTAATCTGTTAAAATGAAGATTATACTTCTCTGATTTTTAAATAATCCTGACCAAAAAGATGAGGAAGAGGGACTGTTGGCAAACTTCTCTGTAAGAAAAGGAACTGGCCACCACTTGTTTGTTGCTGCCTTTCAGGACCTAATTCTGAATTATAAATGCTATTAATGCTTGTACTGAAAGTGCATTTATTTCTCAGTTAATTCTCAGAAAAATGGGTTTTATCTTCTCTACCCCAGGAGGTTTACAAGTTGATTGTGAATCATAGAATCATAGAATGGCTTGGGTTGGAAGGGACATCAAAGATCATCAAGCTCCAGCCCCCTGCCACAGGCAGGGCCACCAACATCCATATCTAATACTAGACCAGATAGCCCAGTGAATCTCCAAAACTTACAGAATGAGGGACTTACTGTAGAATGTTTTTCATTATTTTGGAAAATTTGGTGGCATTTGATATTAGAAATTTGTATAATTGACTTTATATGTGGCAAGGTAACTGTTTAACATCCTAAAGGATCATGTGTGCATGCATGGCTCCCAAGGCCTCCAGTAATGAAGAGGGTGGATATTGAGCAAGCTGTGATTTTTGACACTATTTCCTTAGAAAAATCACTTGATTTATATACTTAATTCTTCTTGTTACTGTCGGCTGCTGCTCTTGCCTGCCACACTGGTTCTATTGTAGCACTTCCAAAATTCTACTTGAGTGCTTTGACCTCTCACAAGAGGTATTAACATGCTGAGTTTCTGTTCTTTATGGATTAGCAACCTTATTTGACATAGGTGACATTAACAGTAAGTGCATTTTGATATGCTAAATTAACATCTGTCATTCTAAATTTGTTTCATGGCATCTGTGGGTCATTGCTAAAGAGAAGTTAATGTGAACAAGAAACTAGCAAAGCAGCTATGTCTATATATAGTCATTGTCATGTATGGCCAATTTTTAGCTGTTTTGTTTCTTCAAATGGAATTCTTGAAACATTACAGTTTAAAAGAAGACTTTTGCTACTTAAAACCTGAGAACCTTCCCTGAGAAAGGTTGCTCTCTGACAATATAATTATACTCTTCCTTTAGAAAACCACAGCAGCCACTTGACTGCATGTGAGCATTGGAAGACATACTGAGGTGTTCATTTGCAGTAACCTTGTTCATAAATAGTACCTTTTCTTCAGTCACTGACCCAGCCACTTCATATAATGATAAATAAATAGATATTCCCCAATAGCTGCATGGAATAAGACATATGAACTGTTGGTCTTTACTGACAAACTGCCTAGACAAACTGCAAATGCCTACAGTGCAGTGCTGGCACTGTTTTGTACTTCCTCCCAGAAATGGGACACAAAGAGACAGAAAGTCTATTACTGTCTTATGTGCTCTAACACAAGTTGGAAAAATTAGATGAGAGTTTATTTTGTGAATGCCGATGATTTGTCACAGTGGGATTTCTGGTATATTGAGTCAATGTTTATTTTTCAGGACTCGACCTACAGCCAGCAGCTCCTCATTCCAAGTACAGGTTTACCTTTGAAAACCAAAATATATGCAGCTGTGAGAGCAACCAACCTTGATGGCAGGTACCATAGAGGATGTTATTTCTTGTTCTGATGCCTATTCAGCTCCTGGGTTTTTAAGTTATTCCGATTTAGAAGCAACTGTCTGTCTTTGTAACCTTTTGTGCATTAAAGTGGTGGTTAGTGTTTGACAATCATTGCCTTCAACTGAAGGATATAAAATCCTCGATATTGAATGCGTATCTTGCTGTTGTCCTCATAATGAAAGTTTTCCCTCACTGTCTATTCCTGCTCTTATACTGCCATTTCCATCATCATCTATCACTTTGCCTCTGTACAGGTGGAATGTTTTGATGGACTACTGTTACACTACACCATCTGGTAATCCGAGTGATGATCTTCGATATGATCTTTTTTTCAGGTAAATCCTGTGCAACTCAGTAATTGTAGGTCTTTCTTTTAAAAAACACAGTTATAAATTTCTCAGATAGTGGTTTCTAGGCTGCTTGAAAACTCTAAGAAATATTAGTAGAGAGGCTAAGGGCTGGACTTACAGATAACATGTCAAGACTCAGCTTTTTCTGAACGTAAGCATAGGATCAATTTCAGAGTAATAAGAATTATGGTGGAGAACTGTACATCTAAAATGTGTCTACCAGAGACAACAGAAATGTGCAAACTGGCCTTTGTTTTACCAAAGATACTCTTGCAGTGAATGACTATATTATAAAATATTGTAGATTGGTATTTAGGAAAAGAGTAAAGGAAATGATTAAAGTTAAATAGATGTTCCTGCTACTCTCAATAATATTTACTTGAATTGGAATTTTGAAAAATGTGAATAGTATCTTGGCAGTATCTCAGATTAAATTTCACCAATGAGGGCTGCTAGAATATTGTCTTCATGTGGAATTACCTGTCTATACCAGTTAGCATAACTGGTAACTTATTGCTTTTGCCTTTAGGTTTTTTTTATATCACTGGAATTAAATGGTACCTTAGTTTGCAACTGCGATGTTGCAAAACAAAACGAAGCACAGTGTTTCTGTAGCAGTGAGTGCAGGACTTTGCAGCCTGTTTTGTGACTGTGGCTGCACACGTTGGACATCATGGCAGTATGTTCTTTACCGTTGACCCAAAGCACTAAGTTGACTGCCTAACTGTCTTATTCTCACCTAATAGCTTTAAAAAGCCAGCCATCTATCTAATCATCCTAGCTTTAATCTTCTCTACAAAAACTAGCTGTGACAAGGACCCTCAGACAACTATCATTGAAAATGGCAAGAGCCAAATGGGGCGATTTTCATTTGAGGTATTCCGCTTTGTGAAGCACAAGAACCAGAAGATGTCTACGGTCTTCCTCCACTGCGTGACAAAGCTGTGCAGAGCAGATGACTGTCCCTTTCTTGTGCCAGTAAGTTTCAATTGATGGAAATTGATGCAAATTCTCTGAATGTAAGATAGTCACACTGGAGTTAGTCTGCATCCAAGAGTAACAGATGCTTGGAATGCACAGAATAAAGGTGACTTGTATAGTCAAAATAAGATGAGCTTCGTGCATCTGAAGGAATGTAAAACAACTTATGGTGAATATGGTAATGAATGTGCTCATCCATAACAGATGTGCGGTTGTTGGACATGCAATCAGTCATCTTTTTTCTTTTGATCCTTAGCTGCTTATTAAAAGTAATGACTGAGACATCTTGAGATCTAGTAGTCTTAATATAGCATAGAAACAAAGTATCCGTAATCATTGCAGATTAATATAAATATTTTTAATATAATTAATGTAAAACTTACTGTAATGGTAAGCAAACTTACTCTGATGAGGGATATTTGAAAGTATTCCTTATAGTGGGGAAAAAATAATGCCTCCCCTCTTATTTATTATAATCTCCCTCATAGTTACAAAAGTGCTGTGGTGTGGACGTTCAAACATTCAATTCAATTCAAAGATTATTTCCTTTTGGGGGCATTGCAAACAACAAATGTATTTTGGAAACTGAAACACAGTTTGTATATTGAACACAAAATATTCTGCGCTGATATCTTCAAAATGCAGTATCATTTCCTGCTGAATGACTTTCCATTCAAAATTTTAAAATGCCCTCAATTCTGACGTTTTGTGCATTATTTTATTACTTAAATAATTTAAATGCAATTCTTTGTTTCTGTGGAGGTGCATGTTCTATGGGTTTTGAAATTCTTTCACATGCAGTTGAAATCCAAGATATAATCTTGTTTGAAGCTTTCTTGAGTAACCAAGATTAAGATAGATAAGAGAGATGCTAATTAAAAGTGGATTCCAGATGGTAGAATGCTGGGAATGGTTTTAATGTGTCATTGCTATTTAGGAGTCCATGGAAAAATATGACGTTTAACTTAAGAACTCTGCTAGAACAGGAACTGTAGCATGTTGTCTATCTGTAGTCAGGCAAAACACATTTATTGTGAAAACTGACTGTAAACAAAGCACTGGGAAATTAACTACTGAAAATTTAATAAACTGTAAGATGAATCTTGTACACAACAGCAATGTAGTTCTGTAAATGAAGTAAGGCAAACTACAACGGGAAGCTAGGCATTTACAAGATACTCTTCTACAGAATATTGCAGTTGTTTTTATTGCAAAGTAATTTAATGCATACTATAAGAAATAAAAGTTGTAGTATTGCTTGTAAAAGAACTTCCATTAAAACAGGAAGCACAGAAGGGCAATAATTCCATTCCAGTCTGAAACAGTGATTGTTTTCATTAACCACTCAGATTTGCAGTCACAGAGAAAGAAGAGATGCTGGTAGCAGAACAACTTGGAGGCCTCAGAGCACCTCTGGCAATGCTGTGATCACTGCTGGCCCCATCATTACGAGGAGTGGTAGGAACAAGCAAACTTTTTCTATGCATGGCAGAAATTTCAAACGCCTGGGGATATGTTTTAACAGTTTAACAGAAATTTGTAATGACTTAGAAAAAGGATGGATGGATTCTCCATGAGTTTGGGTGATTTTTCTTCAACTACTGGAATCTAGTAGAAAGGATGAGCTAGTATTTCTGCTTAGTACTCGCACTTTCTCTTTACCCCATGAAAATAAAAACCCAAAGTCAGTGACTTTTTTTTTTTTTTTTTTTGGAAGTTAATGGAATTTAAGGTACTGTGTTCAGCATCACAAGTTAATTTGGACAGCTAATAAATACTCACTGTCATTTTCTATTCGCCATTTCTTCCACCTTCACCTATGGGTTACTATTTATGTTAATACATGCTATTAGCCTTCAGCTTTCAGATCCTGAGTGGAACTCTAAGGAGGTCCATTTTTATTGTCAAAATGTGGAGGTTTTTTTGGTTGATGTTTGTTGGGTTTGTTTTAAACCAACCTGCAGTCTCTGAAAAGTACTTCTGTGACTGCTGTAGACAACATAATAAAAATAAAACGTTTTAAAACTGTTGAAGAAATTTGGTTTGCAGATTTCAGCAGCCTTAGATTTAGGAATCTGAGTACAGGACTGAGTCTTGTCTAGGAAAGATAATTGAAACACTTGAGCATAAAATCCTTCTTTACATGCAAAGTAGTTGTGCCCACACGTACAAGGAGGGCGACTGACCCTCCATAATTTGGAGCCATCTACAAAGAGACTATTTTTTAAAATCAGATATCCTCAGTTATAAGCAACATTTCATCAAGGAAAAACAGTATTTTCTTCTGTATTATAAATGGTCCCAATTGAGTACCCTTACTGTCATCTGATAAGTCAATAAAAAGTGAAAAAAAACTAACTTCAGAGTTGCATGAATGAATGCATATTGAAAATAAATGACAGATTTGCTTAAACACATGCTAGTGAAACACTGCCTTAGGCAAGGAATGAGAACTATATAAAGCTTGGCATGTGAACAGTCCCTTTTAAGGAGTAAAGTTTGATTCAAATGCTGTGGATGCATTTTTTAATAATAATAATAGTAATAATAAAAGATATTAATGTATTAGCTTTAAATAAAGCATTACTTCAAGCAAATCAAGATCTTACCATGGGTATTTGATGATCCCAAAGCTATGATAAACTAATATATATAATTTGTTGACCGTTCTTGATTATTATTGTTATTTTTTTTTTTTTTTTAATGAGAACACTAGTAAGACTAAGAGAGCTGGGGCTGTTCAGCCTGGAGAAGAAAAGGCTCCAGAGAGACCTGATAGCAGCCTTTCAGTATCTACAGGGGGGGTGTAAAGAAGAAAGAGACAGACTTTAGCATGGTCTGCTGTGACAGGACAAGGGGAAATGGTTTCAAACTAAAAGAGGGGAGACTTAGACTAGTATGAGGAAATTCTTTACAACAAGGGAGACGAGGCACTGACACAGGTTGCCCAGAGATGTGGTGGGTGCCCCGTTCTTATAGACATTGAAGGTCAGGCTGGATGGGGCTCTGAGCAACCTGATCTAGCTGTAGGTGTCCCTGCTCGTTGCAGGGGAAGACGACTAGGTGACATTTAAGGGTCTCTTCCAATTCAAAAATGATTCTATGATAAGGGAAGTAGTATTTTTTTAGGTGTCTTTTAGTTGAGATATGTGACTAAGGTGTTATTAGATTAGACAGATTTCTTCATACAGCATACTTTTGGGCCATTCCGCTCCCACTGACAGAGGCATGTTTTGGTGGGATGTACTTTGAAAAGCAGTGATTTAGTTCTGGAATGTGCCACCAATTTCCCGAGTGCTATTGGTCAAGTTAATCTGGCTTAAACTTCACTCTTCCTTCTGGAGCAAAAAGAGGTAATTGCTGTTTTCTACCACTGTCTTTTCCTGTTGTGCAAATAAGTGATAAGTGCACTGGTGATGTGAGGTTCGTGAATAGTGTGGTCAAAGAAAAAAAGGGGGGCGGGCATGGGAAAACTTCAAGCTGAACAGAATTGACTGCTTTGTGGATGAGGAATCCTATGGGTGGCAGTGCTGTCTTTGACACAATGCTATACAAAGGTGCTTAATACTATTTTCAAGAACAGATCTGCTCTAGTTTTAGTAGAGAGCCCATAAAACCTGCTGCACCTGGCTGAGCATAATACATATGCTTGTCATGTGGCTGCAGATGTGCAACCCCCTGGTTTCCACATTTGAGTTGGTGCTGCATCTATGCCTGGGCTGGTCCTGTGCACTTCAGTGTCTCACCAGAAGCACCTCACATAGTTAGCCAAGCCTTCCCATTACTCTAATCATCAGTTGTTCTGGTAACAGCACTACTTATGTAATTACCTTAGTAGGAACTGAATAGTGCTGCAGCAGATGAATAATGGTCCTTCTCCTGTGTATTTCTGAACTCTTATTTCTAAAATTACCTTCTTTTCAGAGAAACTTCATTCATGATTGTTAAACTAAAATAAGTCACTGCAAGAGAAATACACAACAGAAAATGTTTTGGTCTCTGTATTCAGAGTCAAAGTAAGCACCTATCTGTGAAGGTGAGATTGTAAGCTTTTGATGGTTGGCTCACTTAACCATAGAAGACAGCTGCTCAAAATAGACGTATACATAAGCTGTGGTTACAAGTTGCATGAAAAAGCAAAAACAGTGACAAAAAGTGTAGTTTTGAGATGGGCAATGGTAAGTGTGAAAAAAAAAAAAAAAAGTAGATGGAATATAAATGTTTCCCTGAGTACAGTATGTAGGAGCCAAGAGCATAGGGTACGTTGAGAAATGGTGTTTTTGTCATCACTTAAGGTCGTTGCTTTAGTTTTCCTTGGAAAAACTTTTTCTTGTTTGCATGCTTTCTTTTTTCCCCCTCAGAATACTAAATAACTTTGTGTTGTTGCATTTGCCTAAAAAAATGAAGAGACTTCATATAATTAATGTTGTCATACTGATTTTACCAGAGATACTAAAAACAGCCAGTCAATGTTGCAAATATAGTTGATGTGTTTTGAAAATAAAGCCGTCTGCTAGCCTTTGTATGCAAAGAGAGGAGGGGGGCAGGTGCCAGGTGTCTGTAAAATATAATGCATCTCGTTTGTTTGTTTGTTCGTTTTAATGCAGATGAGACACCAACCAACAACTCTCAGCTTGGTAAGTTAATCAAAATTCCAAGAAACACAAAAGAGATGTTTTATGATTGAAACAGAACTGAGGAGAATGAACCCTTTTGTTTCAGTTTGAGGCGCTGAGCTTGAATGTTTTGTTTGTTTTTTCTTCTTTTTGGCTTTTGTCTTTTAAATAAGTAAATACTGGCACCCTGCCATAACGAAAATATTTGGTGAATTTGGATTGCTCAGTTTCATTTGTGTATCCAACCTCACCAACAAAGCAGCCTCTAATTCCTGTGGTGGAGTTGAAGTGAAAATCTGTTGCTATGACATATGAGGGTGAAGAAGCATTGCAACTGCCAGAAGCAAAATCAGACTTAAGCAGTAAAATCTGCTTATGCCATATGGGAGCTGTGCAGCAAAATAGTTGTTAAGGTGCAGTTCGGTTCAGAGCTCAAACTCAGGAGAGTCCTGCCTTAGTTCTTGTTCTGGCATTTAACCACATGAAGAGCCCATGAAGAACTTTGGCTAGAACTAGTGGTCAGTAGTAGAGTGAGGAAGGAAATAGGCTGCAGGGAGATCTGGGCTTTAATTTTTTTGTAGTGCTTCTCCTATGGACACTTGGAGGACATTTTTCAGCTTGTATGTTATTTTGCTGGTAATGGGGAGTTGCTAATGATTAGTAAAGAAAGGATGGTCTGTTAAGCCATCCTGCTTCTTACTTGCTTGTAAGAAGACCCAGTGGCAGAAGCAACTGATGCTGTCCTCAGAACTGTACTAGCTATCTGTTGCCTTATCTTCTTGGATTGGACCCCATAACAACAGCTGCCTTTCCCTCCTGGCATGGAAACAGTTATCCTTACACCTCTGCCTCGACAGCTCTTGGGCAGTGGCAATCTTTTCCTAAATATAAAAGGTCAAGGTTGGTCACCCAGTGTGAGGGATTGTGTGTTGGAAGTATCCTTATTGTCTTTATTCCCCAGTATAATTGGTAGTGAAAGAACTACCAGTTTTCTAAGTATACTTAGATAAATTTTATCCAAGTAGACAGGTACTCATTCTGAAGTATAATTTTAGTCTTTTGCTGTAATTATTCTCTATTTGATATAAAGACAGCAGCATTTGGCACTGCTGAGAATTTCTAACCGGAAATTACCTGTGCATTTTTGTTCTTGCAGCTCAACATGGACCTCCTTTCCAGCTGAATTCAGTCACCAGTGCACTGATTTCAGGCGTGGTCATCCTCGGAATCACAAGTGTTTTCTTTTTTGTGTGTTCCCTAACTCTACTGCACAGAAATTGGCCCAACAACTCAGTCTTGAGTGGCATCCGAAACCCAGTTTTTAACTGAAAGTGATTTACTTGCACTTTTTGTTTGAGGTTGCCTTTCTTGTCCATGAAATATGCTTCCACTAAAAGAAAAAAAAAAAAAAAAAGAAAAAATAAAAAAGGCAACATTCCATCTGTATCCAGCTTCTATTCCAGCTATTCTTTATTTGTAGACATGCTAGACATTGTTGTGTGTAGGTAAGTAGCAATGATATTGGTGACAATCCTAGGAAACAGAGAATCTCAATTGTGTTTGTGATTAGACTATATATGACATAACGCCCATGGGTGTGCTGACAATAGAGCTCGTGTCTTCAGCTTCCTAAACAGGTCTTAAAGCTGAAGATGCTTAAGGTGAGAACGTATCAAAATGTGCTATGCAAAACCTTATGCATTCAGAAACATTCCTACAGTCATAAATGTCTGTTAAGATGAGAATCACTTACATTTTTTCATGTTTCATTACAAATTTGAAAAAACAATTGTGGCTCAGGAGGAAATTGTTATCATCTGTCTTGGCTAAAAAGAAACATACTCTTAGAGTAATTTAAGACTTCTGCTTATTATTCATTTGAAAATGTTTTCTTAAGATACATCTTCCATTGGATTGTGGTGATAGCACATAAAGTAACGCAAAACAGAATTTGGCTGGGTATCTTTGAGTCAAATGGTTTAGAGCAAATTGCTGTAGGTGCCAGGAAAAATGCTGTGAGTTTTGAGGTTGAAATCTTTTTTCCCCAACAAAATTATTGAGTGAGAATATGAGTGAGTTTTAAATCTAACTAATATTCTGCAGAAAATTAATTATGCACAGATTCACCACATCTACAACTTTCAGTCAAATTCTAACCCTGGGAAATGCTCTGAGGGGAGAAAGTATTCCTTTACCCCCTGTCTCCCTGAAAAGACAAGCAAATAAATGAATAGTAGGTCAATGCTTATTTCTGTAGCAAATTCTCCCCATGGATTAGACTTCTTCACTGCATAGATGAGGGGAAGAGGGCACCTAGAAGAATAACAGGCCACAGGCAGTACCATGCTGTTGACTCTAGTGAATCTGATAAACAACAAATTTAAATGAAGTTGAGAGTGACCAGATGCCTTCAAACAGGAGCACTGGGCAGTGGTATAGCTGTGTAGACTAGACAAAATTCTGGTGTACAAGAGAGGCCATAGTAGACATGACATATAATAAGCTGGACTGGACAGACAGTTGGGATTTTGGTCACAGATTCATCAGTTAATTTGGAATTTAAGTTTTTAAAGTACTGTACATACTGGCCTAGAGAAACACCTCTTTAATATTTGTCCTCATCCTATTTCAACAAAGTCTGCGTTTTCATTGATGTAACACAACTGGATAACAATCAGGGCTTCTTAGCTCTCAAGTCTGAAGATGTACAGACTCTCAGTTTTCTGTGATCCTACAAATGCTGTATAAAAGCCTGGTGTTCACAAAGTCCACCGTGCTGTAATGTGGTGTCCCTAAAAACCAATACTGTGCCTGTTTTCCTCCAGTCTTAATACCTCAGAAACATTTTTGCACTTCAGGGGTTAGGTCTGATGACATGTAAAACATGATCATTTAATAAAATTATTTGAAAAAATTCAGAATGAATATTTTGTCTGAAGCATTTTTTTTCTTTCTTTTTAAGTATGGAGTTTGTGTATTTATGCAGTGACCTCATCCTGCAAAGATGAAAAGCGAAAGATTCTTTAAAGTCAGTCTGTAAGAGCTTTCAACATAGACGATGAATTAATATAGCTCTAATGGCCCTTAAAAGGTAGTGATAAAAGTCAAGAGATTTCTATCCCAGTCTGGATAGAAATAAATTCAGAAAATCTGTTGTAATTAACTCAGAAACAACCACAGAAATTCCATAAATAAAATTCATGCTGTGTAACATACTACAGCAGCTTTAGTTGGATGTTTTTAGCAATGGAGATAGCCATTACCATGCTCAGGAAGCTGTTCCAACAGCTGATTACTGTCCCTGGTACTTTTAAAGACTATTTCTAATCTGCTCAATTGAACTGATGGGTGAGTATTTTCTAACCGAGATCTCACAAAATTCCCTTAAGACCACGGGAAAATAATAGTAAATGTTGTCACAAAAACTGGAGAAAGAAAAACCTCTGAAATAGTAGACCTGCCCTATTTCAGTTTCTATTATTGGTAAGAAATTTGTTGCTTTTATAAAAGACTTGTTCACTGAACTTTTCAAGGTTTGGTTAGCCTATTGCAAAAATTGTGTTGTTAATAATGTAACATGCAAACTGTTTTTCTTCTATAAAGTAAAAATTCTGGAGCAGTTTGTTTTTGTGAAGAACAAGATTATATGTTGTGTTGTCTGTGCAACTTTTTCTCATGTGAAAATTACTAGGTACTAAAAGCTGATCCCTCACCAGTTAAGTTTGTCAAGTGAGTTCCTGCAGTCACCTGAACGTGGCATAGATGGAAAGTATCTCCATTGTTCATAGAGGTAAAATTCACTGCGGTTCACTCAGAGCATAACTCATAACCTCACCCCTTTAATGAGTTTCAAGAAACAGGGTAAGCAGGTGCAGGGTGGATGTGCACAAAAAAGGTTGCGCTTTATGGAGAGGCAGAACATGGGGTGAGAGAGGAGTGGAGACACCTTGGAAGTGCGAGTTACAGTCAGTGGGAAGAGACTCCTGGTGCTTGAGATACTGGGTTTGATGTGAAGCAGTGAATTAAAAAGACACTGTGCACTGTATGAGAAGGAACTCTTCACACACATGCATAATCCTCTCATGTCCATAATGTCAGCCTCATATAGGCTTTTAAGTGAAACTATATTACTTAATATCTCTTCTTATAAAACCCCTTCCATTAGCAGTGTCCATCAGCAAACGGCTTTACACAGAGGTCAGATTTCTGCAGGCGAGTGCTATGTACTGAAAAGTACTTTGATTGGTGACCCAGACTGTGGAGGAAACAAAAGAGACACCAGACAAGCTTGGTTTAAATCCAGTAGAACTTAATAAAGCTATACAGAGGTGGAAATGCTTGCAGGCTTCCTGCCTTTGGAAGAAATAAATGGCATATCCAGCTGGAGCTAAGCACATCAGTGCTGGGCATAAATTCATTTAATATTTGGCAAACAGGCCTTGGGAAGTAAGCCGGAAGTTATTCAGGTTTCCTGCTTCATTTAGCAGACAGTATTTCTTACTCTTGGTATCTCTTAGGGTCTACAAATAAGCCAAAAACAGCAGCCTTGCCCTGTTAAACTGCTTATCTCTCCATCTGGAGGAGAAACAGGCAGGAGTATCACGATAAACTGAGAAATGTTCCAAGTATGGCAAATTGATCCTGCCTCAGGTTGCACTCAGTTCTTATTTTAGTACCATTTAGACAATTCGAGGGCCGTTCAGGAAGAAAGATAAACATCTTTTCTGATAAGTTGGAAGTGGAAAGGTTGCAGAGGAGAGCTACTATTGACTCGCCTGGCCATTTGATATGCAGGGCTGTAATGTGGCTCTTTGCCATAGTGTCAATTTTGAAATGTTTTTATAACAGCTCTGTTACTCACTCTTATTAAATGTTTCCCATTCTTTCGGAGAATGTTTGTGAACGTTTGTACAATTAGCAAATACATCCTTGAGATGGTGGAACTGAAAGTATCAGGGAGGAATGTTGTTCATTCATCAGAGTTTTCATGTGTCACCACTGGCAAACTGAGTGGGGTTGCTGGCTAGTAGTATGCTCATAATCTCTGCATTTAGACTTCATGGTATAGTGTGAAAATTACTTTCCAGCAGAAAGGACCTACAGCAGTCCTTGTAACCAAGATATATATGCTTAGTAGGAGCTTAAATGTTCTGAGAGATTGCTTCCAATGTACTGCTAAAAGGGAAAATCTTCAGTTCTCTGGGTAGACAGGGTGGTCATTCTACAAATACAGTATCTAGCCTGTATCAACCACTGTGCACAACCTGAACTAGCTTACTAAAAGCAAGGCCCCTGAGGTGCGTTTATCAAGCATGCTTATTTTGCATAAAAATGTCATTAAGAAAAAAGGCTTCCATGTGTTTCCAGTTTCCCCAGACTGGAGAATGGTTCAGAAGAGCCCCATGTTCCACCAGCTGGTCACTCAACTTCCAGTCAAGATGGAAAGGCTGAGTGATGTCCACTGCAGGTATTGCTCAGGGCAGGTGACAGCACAGATGTTGTTGTGACTGGTTTCCCCTCAGGGTTTTAATCACTTGTCTCTGAAATCAAGCTAATGTCTGCTTCCAGTTAGTAGCTTTATTATTTATTCTTAGCAGGTGGTAACATCTGGCTATGCAATAGCTGTTTTGAGGAACAGGAGTAGTTTTGATGCCCTTAAACCGTTCGGAACACTAAGATCCTTTTCATCTTATGAACTAAGTAAAATTTATTAAACTGTGTGTTCACAAGTTACTTTATGTAGCAGATATTTCTGATTTCTTTTTCTCCCCAGTTTGTAGCAAATGAAGATAGTGGTCCTGTTGATTCAAATGCTAAGTTGAATGTAATGCTACATATGCTACAAATGCTAATGAATGTAAAGGGCCGGAGTTGGGTGTGGGATATGCACTGGCCAGTTCATTGGGTGCACATAGTCCTTCCCATTCACCTGTGTGAGTGATGTATCAGGGGATAAACACATGTGGTGTGCACACTGTTAGCATCTTATCTGCACCATCAAATCCTGCTGGCCAATGAGTCAATGCCATGCGATAGAGTGGTTGCATATAGTCATCACAGCACTGTAATTTATCTGGTCAGAGACATGCAGTGGTGCCTTCTAGGCTGTGAGATAGCACTTTGCATGCACTTTGTAACTTGGCAAAGCATGACTGTAGCCTAGGTAATGCTCTTCATTTACATTGCTACCCATCTGCATTGCTGAGTAGCTTGTTCTGCTACAGGCAACGAGCACGCAGGCTTGGTCTGGTAGAAGTGCTGATTACGTGTGCTAATAGAAGTGCATGATTTAGTGGGAAGTCAGTGCATTATCCTCCTCTCTGGGTAAT